ATGTAAATACTTGCTATTTTTAAACAGGCAGGACGGTATTTATTGGCATGAGAAGGCTGAGTGCTTTCCCCTTGTATGCCCTACAGTAACCTATGTTACCTGAACTGGTTTTCTATGGGTTTTTGTTTTTATTTTTTCATTAAATGTGGCTTTAAACTGTGAATGAGGAAGTTACCTTTAGAAAGATTCTTAACTTCTAAGTTTAATTCCCTTGTTTCTTTTGTTCTTTCATAACTAATCTTTTGAGATCCAAAACAGATGGGGCTGCATTTGGCAAAAAATCCCTGTTCTTTAATTTCTTTGTAACCGAACAACAGCTTATATTTCAACTTAACTGAAATCAGTTTAACAGAGATACTGGTGTGGGGTTTGTTTAGATTTACACATTTTAAAGAGCAAAGCTAGTAATATATTCAGTTCTGCTCTTCTTACTCTTACACAATACCCCTTTCCCCTTAATTGCTATACCTTATGCAATAAATAGTCCCACAGGTTTCAGTATGACTGTTTAGGGAATTGAATAGCACAGTTTGTAAAAATAGAAAAAAATGAATAGTGCTTTTAAGAAATACAGTGTTTAGCAAAACACTCAAGAGTTTATACAGGTATCAAATATGAATGTGCTTTTTGGAATTTGTGGAAGTGAATACCACACAGTGTTAGTAAATTGGAAAAAATGAGTAGTGCTCTTAAGAAATACCAAATTTGGCAAAGCAGTCATTGTTTGTATAGTATCAAATATGAATTCTGTTTTGCTTCAGTTATGAACTATTAAAAATTATTACGGAAAACAGTTGATGAGAATAATGTTGATAATTTTTTTGTGTCATCTGATGTGAAATTTGGGATCCCATCAATTAAATTCTACTGTACAATTTTACTTCAACCTTGAGAAACAGCTTAATACTGCAAAGAAGGCAAAGGTGAAATAAAAATAAAGTTTGAACTTCTGAAGTTTTCATGTGAAAAGTTAAAAATATCTCTTATGGACACAGAATTATGTACATTTGTATTGTTGGTCAGACCTATTCAGTATTGCAGTATACCAAATGTTTTTGTTAAAATTGCCTTTGTACCTTTTCCTTCATTGTGAAAACTTTAGTGTCCTATTTTGAATTAATAATCCCTTGTGGGGGATTTTTTTAAAGATTTTTTTCAAAATCAGAGAAAGGCCTCAAAAACGTGCCGGGAGAGAGACCTTCATAATTTTATTTTTATTTAAGCTTTACCAATCCCTTTCTCTCCCGTTCTCCCACACATAGCTGGCCAAGACCATGCTGTGTCTTGTGCAGGTTAGGTGGCAGTCGTAGCCTGTGCAGTTCCTCGTTATGGTCTGCTGTCCTTGTGGAAGAGTTCTTTGCAATTTCAGCTGTGGAACCTACAGCTGAATCTTGCATCAGAACTGAACGATGCTGAACGTGTGTCACCGGTGGCCTGAGCGTCACCAGGGCAGTTCAGAGGTCTAATGCACTAGAGGTCCTCTAGTGCACGTGAAGAGCATAAGTAGCAAAAGCAGAAAAATTTAGATTGCGATTTAGAACATACAAGACTGAAGTAGAAAATGTATTTCAGTTTAGATAATGTGTATAACATCAATATTGGGATTCTCTTCTCTTTTTAAAATCTAGACACCGTAGCTGTCCTTTCTCCTATATTTAGCCAGGCTGTTCATTAGCAAGATGACATGTCATTTTAAGAATGTACCTCCCAGCTTGTTTGCTTAGACTTAAATGAAGATCAGCTCAGCATGAAGCTGATTGGACTTGCACCGTGTAGAATTTTACTAGCTGTGACTTCTTCTACCTGCTTTTGACTTTTACAAGTTGAATACATGTTTTTGCATTTGGTGTGTGTTTTCTTTTAAATTAGCATGTTTAGAGAACTCCCTTGCTATTGGAATGCCATTATTTCATAGCTATCACGTTCCTTCATTCAACAGAAGGAGAAAAGAAAAAAGAAGTGGAAAGATGGCTTTGACAGATATGTGTGTGCGTGCATGTGCGCGCGCGTGCGCAGACACACACAATCAAGTTTTACTTCAGAGGGTACTGACTTTGCAAGTGACTAGAAAATCCATCCAAATTTTTATTTTCATAGGTATTTATTTAGTGAATGTTTCTTGACGTTGCTGTTGATAGCAAAGGCTGAGCTTGGATTCCTGTGTGAAGGCAAGAAGGTGATGGAGTTGTCTCTCATTTTTTATTTATTTTATTCCACCTATAGCACTCCTCTGTCTTATCTCTATTTATTAACGTGTTTACTTGAAGGGCTTTGTAAAATTAGCCTGAATACTGATTCACATTCCCTTTACTGTCTGTCTTAAGCTTTTCTTTTTTCTGACTTTGTTGACTTCTCCTCAGGAAATTAGATGAACATATTTAATGGTGAAGACTGGACGTTTTGTTTGTGTTCAGTTTTTTAGTACAAGATATGAACACAGATTCTGAAATTGCTGGTCATGATATTTCTTGGCTAGAAGTGTCTTACTGGTCCTTAGACCAGAATCAAAAAGTTCATTTCTAGAATAAAACTGTGCATGCATTTTGATTGCTTCTGTGAGCTCCATCTGTCTCTGAGACTCTCTTTACGGAAGCCACATGTCAGCTTCTTCATCAGCGTCTTCCTGGTTATCAGATAACAGCAGTGGCCGATGCTGGTTTGATTATGTATATGTTGAGCTAGAGAATAAACTTGTCACTTCTTATTTTGTTTCCTTGTATTAAATGAAAAACTCTCTCTTTAATTTTAGTATAAGCAGATTTTTATATATCCCTTATACTTTAAGTAATATACAAAGTTTTAGGTGTAGTTAGTATGCAGGTTGTGTATTCACATATGACATATATGTATAAAGCTTACACACTTCTCCTTGATATGCAGAAAACTAGACTGCTTTCTTCTTGAGCTCAGCAGCTCAGAAACTGGTATTGTAAAGCACCATGTCCTAAAGCGGGAAATTTAAAACTGATACAGCGTCATAGATTTGGTTGACGCTGCGGTGGCAGCAATGTGGTTAGAATCTGCAGCTGATGCTGATTGTGACCAAGCTTTAACAGAGTATAAGAAGTGTTTTCTCTTAAAAGATACAAGGATCAAACAATAATTTCCCTGAGCATACTACAGGTATCTTCAGATATGTGACTTTCTTTTCCCCCTCCTGCAAATAGTCACCAAAATGATTTAACTCTTCAGAATTAGCTTTCAGATAGGAATGTTACAGCAATGCATCAAGAATGTTTCCTTGGAAAAAATTGTTCCTGAAAGCACCATGTGAGTGTAAATGTAAACAGCATATTCTAAATGTAGATTTCTTCTGGTTTAGTTATTTATTTTTACGGGATGCTTGTTCTATAAAGCTGTAAACCTGCTAAAGGTTATGTCACAATCTGGTAGCAGCCATCATTCTTTACCAAATGATATTGCTGTGATCACCGCAATGGTGTTTCAGACTTGCTTCTTTTTAATCAGCTATGCTGTGTTAAATGTAACGGAAACAGCAGTTTTAGCTCAAAACAGTGCTTGAGCAAAAAAACTGGTGCTTGAGCGTGGATAAGAATTCCATAATTTTTAAGAGCTTGTAGTCATATTCATGTGGATGAACACAGAGCTACTTCTTAACTACTTCATTTGCCTTTACCATAGCAACAAAAACAACAATCTTAGAAAATTATGAGGTCTTTAAAGTGAAATCAAGAATTACTTAGTTCAAAGGTGCTAGAAGCTTGGGAACCTGAATGGTTTTTGGAGGATGACAGGATCTAATTCTCACTTTGGTTACTACTGCTACCATCATCACCTGTTAGAAGTTAGTACAAACTTATTTTACTCTAGTACCCTTTCAGCTGTAACTATGGATTAGGGTCTGATTATTTATTATCTCTAAAAGGAGAACAAAAAGATCCATCAGAGCCGAAGAATTTACATATAGGTCATTAAACATAATCTATTTAGGCAATGTCCTAAATTAATCCAAATGGAATTTTACTATATACTTTTCACAATGAGACTCGTTACAGTGGTTGTATCTTGTGAGCAAAGATAAGGATAAATACTAGTATGTTCCTATCAGAATATTTTTCCCTTTGTTTTCAGGTATATTGTTGGGTGCAGTACAAAATTCTTTTTTGAAGTACACAGGTCTTAGGCCTGTGAGCAAGTGCATAAGTTTGCTGTGGCAAAGAGGCTAGCACCTTTTGTACTATTGACATAACACAAGTTATTCCTCTACAATTCATGTATGAATGTGATTCCTTCATAGATTTTTGTGGCTCTTATGTAGATTAGAGAGTTGGACTCAAAATTACAAATAGTTTAGTTTTTAATGAATAGAATGGTTATCTTTGAGTAAAAGTATATAATTCATCTCTAAAATATGTCAGACATCTGATTTATAAATTGGATGAAATTATTAATTGGTGTTTGGATCTGTGACAGATTCATGCATTAGCAGAAAAGTTTTATTTCACAAGCAAAGTCTTTGAGGTGTGGCTCAACATCATTTGAACTATATGGTGTTTACAAAATTGTATTGACTAGGCAGCTTCAGTGGTTGCCAATGTTAAAAGACTTTGAATTTCCACTGCAAAAGTAGCCTTTGCACAATAGCTACTCTGGAAACTGATTTATGAAAGAGGCTCTATTTGGAAGAGAATATTTTGTGCTTCTCATCTGTGCAAGATGCTCTACTTGTTTCATGAGGTAGTACTTTTCCAGGAGGCATTGCTCTCATGCTTTTGTTTTATGCTTTTTTTCACAACATAAAAGAAGATCCTCCGTTTCATGTGCTCTGTGGAGTTCCTTTCATCCTTCAAAGTAATGTTACTTATTCTATGATGTAATTGCCTGTATTAGCTTGCTTTTGATCTGTTAGGCTAATTACTATAACCCTGCCAACAAAAACAATATTTGCACATTTATCGCATGTCACTGATTGATAACAGTAACGAAGTAAATAACTGAAGGATTTAACTTGTTTTCTTTTTTCACTCTTTTTCTTGTAGGTTCATTGCTAAACCATGTGCCTTAGGCCTTAAAGTCCAAGCCAATGGACCACAGAAGGCTCAGCCCAACGCTATCCTGGAAAAAGTTTTCACAGCCATTACAAAGGTATTTACCTAAACCGTTTACCCGGTAAAGTGGGACGTGGTGCTGTAAAGTAGGTCTGAACAAAATAAAGCTATCTGCTAAACGTTGTGCTGCATTTTTACAGCTAAAATCAGAACATGCAAATATCAAGATTGTAGTTGGCATGCTAGCCTGAGCAGTTGCACATCCCTTCATGATGTCTCCTGTAAGCTTTTAATCAAAAAAGCTGTTACAGAAACACTTCATAGGTGCCATATGGCCACTTACTAATTTTTTTTACATTGTTATTCCTCCTTTTTTCAAAATTTCCACAAAATCATTGTGTTTTGAACAAAGAGCGAGTTATGAAGCAGTAAGATTGGCCTTACTGTGTTTTTTGTGAAGCTTTAAAACCACTTCTAGGGGAACTACTTGAATGCAGGGCACTGGTGGTTTGCTGACATCCTAGCTGTTTATGTTGTGATGAATGCCCTTCGAAATAGGTGGAAAAAGCTAGAAAAATGAGGGTTTTGACTGAATAGCGTCTTAGAGCTTGCAAATTTTTCTGCAAAAGGCAGTTTTTTCCTGCTGCTTGTATCTCTGTCTCTACAACTCTCACTATTTGAGATCTTAAACTAAACATTTACGATGTCATCCTGACAGTACTTTTGAGGCAACTGGCACTTCCCCATAGCATTGAGCAGTGAGAGTGGAACAGTGATTAGGTGTCCTTCTGCTACTCTTAAAGACCTCAGCAGGCAGTGCCTTTGTAGCACAACGGCCTACTGAGGCCTAAATATTGCAAGAACTTCTCTTTCCCAGCTCAACTTCATGCTGCAGCTGAACACACCACAATAAAGGCATTAGCCTAAAGTTTTGAAGGTGTGTTAGAATCACGGAGAACAAAATTGGTTTCAATGTCAGGGACAGTGAAATATGCCGTAGATGGTACTCTGTTGTTTACGTGTCCTACTGGGACAGCTTTTGTGCTTGCCTTCTGCCATATTCCCAGTGATCCTGGGAACACCACTGTGCTTGGTGTGGCTTTTGTACTGTTTTCAGAGAGGAAATCATAGGTACATCATTTCTAAAAGATGTGGCATATGTGCTCTCTCCTGGACTCAGCTGGAGAAAGAATGAGATTTTTTTTTTCCCTTGCAGAATCTGCTAGTCTCAAATAGACTGTATGTGAAGTCATGTAACTCCTGTGAGTCATGTCATGAGTTACACACATCTTCCCCCAACCAGAGCAAGGAGAAGAGAGGAAAGCGCTCCAAAGGAAAGTAGATACTTTCTTGCAAGAGGTTGCTGGACTGTCTGGTAGCCGCTCTAAAAAAGAAACAGGCTGATTTAACTAGAAGCCCTATTTTGAAAGTCACGTGTAACAATTCTTAAGTTCCCAATAGTTACATCAATTATTTATCTAAAGTCACTGAGAGTGACTCTTAGTCTTCCATTGAAAAACAAATGACCTCTTTGGTTAACTAAAAATATTTTCATGAGAAGGGAGGGGATATACTTCCGCCTTTTCCTATCTCATCCTTTTCCCTTCCTTTCCTGTCGTCTTCCCTGGAGACTGCTATGTCATGCTTCAGCCTGAGGAAGATTTTGCTGCAAATTTGTTAATCCATAGATTCATAGATTTCATAATCCATAGATTTGTTAAACCATAGGGGGTAGTAGAAAGAAAACTTCTAACGATGTCTTTATTGTGGCAGCTCTCACATCTCATTCACTGTATGTAACTAGTTTACAAAAATGAAGCTAATCCTCCAGAAACCAGGTTGTCCAAAGACTTTGGCTGTTTCTTTAAAAAGTGTGAGCAGGAGAAATGTCTAAATACTCCTCATGCAGTATATGCAGAACTGTGTGTGATTTCAAATGTGGTCTGTATCGCTCTTCTCTTTATAGTACTCAAGGATAGTTTAATTTTCTTTTGCCGAACCTCTGCACTAATTTGCAGAGTGCTCCTCTAATGGAACGAGAGTTCCACGTTCGCTACTCTTGAGAGTAACTGTGTGTAGCTAATTTTACAGAAAAAATTTCTCTATCCCGGTTGCCACGGTGATTTTTCTTTTGAAGTTGTCACTTTGTTTAATAACCTAATTCTGTAACATTGACGTGCAGAAACATGGGATATATCCTCCTCTTTCCATGTCAGCCAAACAATCTTCACTACTGCAGCGCTCAGTAGGACAAAAATACCTATGCAGGAGGATGGAACAGACAAAGCACATAAGGGGGGGGTTTTGTAAGCCGTATTGCTTGAGAAATGTATGGCACTGAATCCCTATTTTATCACTACTTTCCAAGTTTCCTGCAAGGTTTTGTCCCCTGTTATCCCCTGTAAGTGTCTTATTAGTAAAAACCAATAAGACAGTATTGCAGCATATGTAGTTCTTACATTTTAATGGTAATCACTGTACACGTATTTCGATATGGGTTTGACAGCAGAAATTTCTGTGAAAAGCATTTTATTTCTATGTATCCGACAGGCAGCATCTAAATAGTAGATGGTTACAGTGGTTCTAAATTTCAAGTGGAGCTATTTTAACTGGAGAAAGAAATAATTCTTGTCACTCTTTGTTCTGTAGCATCCAGATGAGAAGAGGCTGGAGGGTCTCTCCAAGCAGCTGGACTGGGATGTGCGCAGTATTCAGCGCTGGTTTCGACAAAGACGCAACCAGGAAAAGCCCAGTACTCTTACAAAGTTCTGTGAGAGCATGTAAGGATTTCCATCCTTTTTTCTGAGTGCTTTTGAGCCTGTGTCCTCATCAGTTTTTTCCCTTTGTCCCTAACGAGTTTTTTTTTTTTGTGGATTGGTTTAAAAAAAAAAAAAAAAAAAGGTAGAAATTTGGTAGAAAACAACTTCTTGAATGGGTAAACAATCCTCTTTCTCCTGAAGAATTCAAATTGTATTTTCATGTCCTTTCAATGATGAAAAACTTACAGAAATCAGGTGGTTCTGATTCTGTATTGTCAGGGTACCAGTCTGATTCTTTGAGGAAAAATAGCCTGACATAGCAGCGAAAAACTGTCTATGCATCACAATCTTTAGCTATGCAGTTTGAGAGGAATCTAAAATGGAAGAATAAAGATAAAAGCCTACTGGGTTGGTCATTAAATCCCTTCCCTGTTTTCCTCCTCCCAGGCTTGGCCCCCTTGCTAGCACACTTCCTTGGTTGCACTTAATTCTGAGAAGCTAAAGGCTCTTAGCCTTTCTTTAGGAAGTTATTTTTCACCTACTGTGATTTACTCCCAAGGAATCTTTCCCAGCACCCAGCTGCTTTGAAAACTGGATATTTACATGTATGTTTCTTCTAGTTAAACTCCATTGTTTTTAGAATGTGAGTTACATTTCCATGCCAGCTGGATTTAACACATTAATACTTTATCTGCATTGAAGGAGCATGGAAGATTAGATCTACTTAAAATATTAACATGTTTTTCGTAAACGGGAACTGATAGACATTGAATTTATAACAAAACGCGAAGAACGATATTTTCTCTGAAAGACCCATTGATTCCAAGACTCAGCCCTCCAGCACAGCTGTAATATTGTTCCTTTGATGTGGAAAGTTATGCATTTAAGGCAAGATTTACATGCTCCAAATCAAGAGACTTAGCAAATATTCCTGAAGCCATAAATGAGCATTGGCTTTATCACACCCAGTTGGTCAAGTAGTCATGTTATTGCTGTTAAAACTCTTAATTACATATTTTGTTAGCTGGGAAAGAGGTATTAGGTAGAAATGTCAGCAAGACAGTGAGGAAGTCCTATTTAAAATAGGAATTAAATCTTAGTTATTTTTAATCTTATTTTCTTATTGTTTCCTAAAAATTATTAAATGTTTTCATTTAGAAATTGCAAGTAAAGAAATTCCAAAGACACTATGGACTAGCAGATATATATATATATA